AGACCATGAAACAGAGCAAGGAGAAACGAGTGCAGTGCACGGCCTCAGCGTCAGAGGGAACTTCCTTCGGGGTGTGAAACGCTCCCTCTGGGGCTGTGGGCTCCGCTCTGCGGGCAGCCGCGCGGCTCCGTCTGGCTTTCGGATTGAACCACGTCCAACTGTCTAGACCCACCTCCTGCAGAAAAAAAGAATTGCAGATTTCCTCATTGGTCACAAATCGTTGCTAACATTTCTTATCAACAGCTGCATCATTGATCAGTTACTAAACAACTGCAAATCTGTCCTGCAGTTGAAATTTCTACACAATTACTAAACAGCTCCAGAAACTGCTGACCAGTTACCAAGCCGTTATACGACCATTTCCTATCAGTAGCCAGGTTAAAGCTTCATAACCCCAGCCCTTGCTTCTTGTTTTTACACCTGTACTTATCGATGTGGAGCGAGTAAACCCGCAGAAGAGGGTTTTCCTGGGCTTTGCTTTTCAGAGTCCAGAGTTGCTTCACAAAACGCCTCCTCAGCCTGCTCTCATCCCCTAAAAAAAAAAGCAAGAAAAGCAAACCTGGGCCGAAGATGCCATCTGCTGGAAGCAGGGCTGGTGCAGTGGGTTGGCGGGCATCCTGCAACCCCGCAACCTTGCAACCCCCAAAACTCTGCAACCCCACCACCTTGCAAACCCCCAAACCCTGCAACCCTGCAAACCCCACATCCCTGCAACCCCACAACCTCACAGACCACATTGGCCCCACCAAAGCGAGCACGTGTCGCAGTGCTTGCACTGCCCAAGGGTTTTCTGGATCCCTGGTTTATTGCTTAGACAGGGGCCCCAAGAAAGGCAGCCAAGGAAGAAACAATCCCCCAAAATAAAACTTCACTTTTCAGCTTTCCTGAAACATCTTCAGCTCTTGCCAATCCCTTGGCAAAAGCAAGGTGGAGATCTGATAGGAAGCACCATTTGAGAGATCTTTAGTGAAATGGAAAATTCATGCCCTGTTTTGGTTATTGCTATTTTTTTAAGCAATTCTTGAATTTTCACTGAAAAAACATTTATTTCTTCATTTTGGGGATTGCAACCTCTCCCCTCCCGGAAGTGAGGCCACTGAGCTTGGCGTTCCCCGCTCTGTGAAGACCCAGCCCTCTTCCCTCTCCTAGAAAGAGCCATTCCAGTGTCATGTTACAGCATGCCAGACAGGCAATGTTGGGGGAAACTCGCTTCAGAGCTGCCCCAGAAATATTTTGGGGTTTATCGGTTAAAGAAACAGGGATCTGAGTATGCAATTAATATTTCTTTCCTCCTTCTGCGAAGAATACTTGGCACAAGGGACTCCCGAGCCCAAGAGACACAGACCAAGAGGGACAAGCTCTTCCTCGCAGGGACCCGATGCACAGCAACCGCTCGATAAATTGTCTTTGCAAAACATCAGTAACTGCAGCATGACATTTTCCTCCCTGAGCTTCCTGACCCCAGGCGCTGGCCATCGCTCAAATGGCAGCACCGGATTCAGTTTCAGGCCAGCATCTGCCATTTCCATGGAAACGGAAAAGCAGACGGGTGAAAGCGGACAAACAGGCTGGAACCGACGCTCCGTGCGGCCAGGACCCGGCACCCTCGCCAGGACACCCGTCGCTGGCACGGCGTGGGATTTGCACCTGCTCCGGCTGGGAAGCCGGGCGGAAAGGGCGTCCGGCACAGAGCACGCCGGTGCGCGCCGCTGGCAGCCTCGTTGCGTGCGTGCTGATCCTGCCACAACCGGGCTGCGAGGGGAATGGACA